TATACTTCTCTTCTGTAGAATTCTTCTTAAATTTTCAAATTTAAGAAGAATTCTACAGTGCCCCAGCGTGTTTCTGAAAATCTATTCACATTTTGCGAAATTTTTAGGGTCCATTTTTCACTTTTTCTTACGAAACAAGGGTTGCATGTAAATTCGTAGTGGTTTTTAACGGGTAACACGGGCCCCCTTCGGGGCCTTGGCTCCGGTACCAGGGACCCAGTATCCCCCCCCCCCCCCCCTTGTGGCGGGCCTGGTACAAGATGCTTGCTCTGTATGGCAAAAAGTGATCTTTCCACTGGGATATGAAAATGTTCCCCCGGAAATGTTGTGTTTTGTTTTCACCTCCGACCTCCCCACAGTATCTTCTAGCAATGATGTTGTCACTGATGCGTCGACGCTCTTCTTCATGGAATTATTACCGCATTACTCACTTCTTAATATACGCTGCTACACTGTTGTATGGGTTTTTAAATGATGCGACTATTCGGCCTCCGAGGCCATACTAGTTGGTATCTTTTCCCAATGAAGGCGTTTTTTATGTATGGACGGTTTTCATCAGAGTATTATCTCACGCAAGCGCATTACTCGTTAATCTATATGCTGGTACACTGTTGTATGGGTTTTTAAATGATGCAACTATTCGGCCTCCGTGGCCACGCTAGGAAGTATCTTTTCTCAGTGAAGGCGTTTTTTATGTATCGACAGTTTCATCAAAGTATTATGTCAAGCAAGCGCATTTAATATGTGTGAATAGAAACCTTTTCACCTTCGCCCCTTTTCCCCAGTCCCTCTCTCCCTTCTTTTTTTCTTTTTCTCCCTTTCGTTTCTTCCTATTTTTTTCCTCCTCCCTACTTTCTCCTTTTCTCTGTTTCTTCCCATCTCCTTTTTATTTCGGCGTCGGGTCCTGTCAATCCTATCTCTCCCCCTCTCTCGACGGCTCTGGCCTTTGGAGGAAATAGCCGTCGAGTTGTTACAGGTACTTAAAAACATTCCTCAGTGTACACTACTTTCAGAATACTTCAAATGATATACCTATATTTACTTGGTGGCTTACGTAGAAAAAGGCACAATTCCGATTGCAGCGTTGCAAGTCTCTGCTCATGATTTATCTTCCTGGGAGAAAGTGAACCAATCGTTTTTCTTGTAGTTTCTGATATTTTTCTCCACTTTTCTTCCACACAATAGTTACTCTATCTACCAACTCTATTGTCCTAAGATTTTAGTGTGTAAATTTGACCATTTTCAATTTAAACTAACTGCGCCCATCCACCCTACATTATAGCAGTTACACATTTTCATGAACCAATGAAAAAAATAAACATATATAGGTATGCAAGTTCGTTTCACCATTAAGAGGACACCTGTCGGAAACACGAGACACTCTCAGCTGGTATTCGAGTCTCGTGAATGGCGGTTACGATGGTAGGGCGTGAACTTTTTGAAACCCAGGCTTGGATGCAACTATTCGAGCTCAATGGATGTGCGTGTTGCATTCAGAGCTAAATGAAGGCGCTCTCGGTGATGTGTTGTTTTGCGCACTACCATGTCTCGTCTTCGTTTGAGTTCCGTCTAAGCAGTATCTCGGACGCAGGTCGGCAGCCCCTAGGCACCCTTTGGGCTGATGTAGACTACGTTTCAGAGAAGAAATCACTAAATCTGACTCACCTCTACATGTAAAAGCATCTATCTGCACTGGGAAACTTATGACACGAAAGTATGGCATTACGGGAAAAAAACCGTTGAAGAACCCTGGTTTCTGCCTCGAGGCGATTGTGTTTAGGAAACGGCGCGAAAGTGCCTATATATAGGAACTCCTTGATAGAGACGCTGATCATTGGGCTCTCTCTCGATAAACGCACTATCGAAGTTTTTCTCTTTGCAAAGAGGAACCATAAACTGCCGAATCTCCGCGTGTCTGCGAGCGAGTTCTTACGAGTGTGTACGCGCCGTTTCCCCTAGCGCAGCCGTTTGAAAAATTAAAAGATCATTAACCCCGATGCCCTCTTGTTTTTTTTACATAATGCTATCTGTCCAAAAGTTGTTTCCAAATTGAGCCAGAAATACTTTGTGATTTCTTATAGATTACCAACGAAAAACCACTATTTCCAGCTCATTTTAGGAACACTTGTGCCTAGCATTAGTTCTTGAATGCATGCAGGTAGGAGCTTTTATAAATGTGCCGAAAACATACGCGAATTTTTCCCATTTTTTGATGTCCCTTAATCCCTGGATTTTCGCCCTAGGTACAACCGCAACTGTTATTTAAAAGTTTACCTGACAACCATGCCTCTTGATTATCACTAATGATAATCTTTGACAAAAGGATATCACTACCATTCAGTAGCGTGGCGTGAATTGCGATATATCGATTGTTATGCCGTTTAAACCTATGGTAAAGGATCGATTAACAGGGTGTTCGCAGCGAACACCTTAATAATCGATTCTTTACCATAGGTTTAAATGGCATAAAAATCGATATATCGCAATTCACGCCACGCCACTGCTACCATTTGCGTCGTTTCAATGTGACTGACGCCTTACCTCTGACCGTGAGCTGCCCGTTGCTTATCGTACGGGAGCATCTAGCCATGTAGTGAATTTTTACTCTTAATATTTTATTCTACAATTCAGAAACGGCATCCGAACTGTTTTTTCGTGGCAGGTATTTTTTCGTGAATTTTCTGTACAAATTGTAAATTATGTGTTTGAAACTGCGTCAATTTAAAATGTACGGAAGCCCATAAACTGATCAACATGGATGGATGCTTCAAGTTCCTCTTCATTTCAAATATTTTGTTACAAATGGTGAGCATGAATCAAGATGCAATGCCCTAATACTCTCCCCGGTAAAAATTGGCAGTAGAATCTCTGTTCCAAAATACCATAGACCTACAGCCGGCTGTAAGATTTCCAATAGCTTTTATAGCCGGCAACACAATTTCTTATAGCCTTTTATAGCCGATGGCAATTAAGCAATAGCCTGGCGATAAAATGTATGCTAAACGTTACTAATTACGGATGCTAGTACTTAGTGAGTTTTTGGACTACCGCTCTCTTTTTGGGCCGCAGTATCTTGATTTAATTCGCGAGGGAAGCTCCGTACTGTTGAAGGATGCCTGCCATTCCTAATATGTTGGAGCGCCTTCAATTTCGTATGATACTGTGCAATACCTCTGGTGTGAAAAAGTTGTTTCAAACGCCGCGGTACACTGCGGCGCGGCGCGGCGGGCGGGTAGCCAGCGCTGAACGCGCATTGGCGCCTACGAACCTAACAGGGATACCTCACGCATTGCGCAATGCGTGAAGTATCCCTGTTAGGTTTGTAGGCGCCAGTGCGCCGCCGCTCCGCTTTGTGTTAGGCTCCAGTATTTAATCTCGCGGAGTCAGCGTTTTTCAACACATGACTTTGAAATGTTTGCACACTCTGTATGGATTATTCTCATTTTATTTGATGAAAAAAAACGTGTAGTAAAGGAAAATATAATGTGCGTTTTGTAAATATTAAGGTAGTTCCGTATCAAACTTAATGATTTCCAAAGCACAAGAATTTCTACACAATTTCTTACAGCCTTTTATAGCCGATGGCGAAAAAGCATCAGCCAGGCGACAAAGTGTAAAGCCCGGCGATAGGAGCTATAGCCCGGCTGTACAATTTTTTATCGCTTTGTGTAGCCCGGCCTAATGATTTTTTCCTCTTTCTACAGCCAGCTATATGATTTTCTATCGCCCTCTTCAGTCGGCTATAAGAACTCTTATGGTATTTTAAAACGCAGCTCCTATTGCCAATTTTTACCAGGGGCTGCTAATACATAGGAGAAACGCCCAGTACACCAATCTCCGGCTTAGGTATTCGTGAGCACTAGCGTGACTTACAATAACTGAATTGAAAAAATAAACAAATGAATGAATAGATAAATAGATAAATGAATAAATAAATAAATAACATGAAAACCCTCCTTTAAAGTGTTCATGATTCGTGATGAAAACAGGTAAAAGACACCTAAGGGAAAAAATGAAATGAAATAACTGGGTGCTTCCATACCGACTAATGACACTTCAAAAAAGTAACCTCCTCAGATTTGGATGAAATTTTGAACACGCAATGCCGAGCCATGATTCAAAATTCCAATCCTTTTATGATTTCATCTAAAACTAGTCTTAAATTAATTCCATAAAAACATCAGTATTTTATTTTAAACATCAAAAATGTTTTGAACTTTCTTTCCGCCATAAGGCTCCACGTAATTTTGAGACTTTAGACATGTATCTCGTAACAGCAAACGGACGGCGCAAGTCCGCAGTCACATAACTCGTTTGCGGTATGCCTGAAAATCTCCGCCTCTATGTTATTTTTTAAATGAGAACAAATTGACATCATTACCTTAAGTTTATGCAGAATTTTCTCCGCATAGAGATTAAAAATCACGACAGTTTTAAAGAATTGCCGTTGAGTAGTTTTCCGTTTAAAAAATAAAGTATGACAGGAAGTCAGAGGCGTCGCGAACCGAGTTATGTGATTGCCGACTTACATCACCATCGAAACACTGCACTTATAAGTTATACGCCCAGTCCTCCAGTCCCCTCGATTAAGTCCTTTGAGCTCTCGTATAGTTCTTGCATCTCTTCTCCACATTAAAGCACATTTTGCCCTACTACGTTACATTTTTCTAATACGACCGTATTATTCGTAAGTATCCTCGTTCCCAAGTAGCATTTTTCAACGGAAAAATCGCGATTTGTTGCGATTTTGTCGGCGATAAAATTGCTAAGATCATCAACATCTGAGGGATTACCCTCGATCTTTTTGCAATAAAATCGCGATTTTATCGCTCGGCAATTGGACCGCGTTAAACAGAAAGGAACCAAGCCACATCAGCTATTGCCAAATTTAATCGGGCAATTTAATTTTTTACATGAAAACGGTTGTGCGAATTTTTGTGCAAATTTCTATGAATTTTCTCCATAATACAAAGCAAATTCCCTAAAATTTTCAAAGAAATCTGCACAAACGTTCTCTCTCAAAAAATAAAATTCCCCTGTTAAATTTGGCAATAGCTGATGTGGCTTGGTTCCTTTCTGTTTAACGCGGTCCAATTTATCGCGATATTATCGCAACAAAAATCGCGATATATGGCGGTTTTTTCGATAATATTGCGATAAATTGCCACCGATATGATCGCGATAATCGACCGATAAAATCGCTATTTATCGAGATCGCTGCTACTCGGGTTATTCCATTTTTTCCATCAGAATCGAATGCATCCGCTCGTCTCGGCCAATTTCGACTTGCACCAACCGACTTTTTATCCCGCCGAGCCGTTGAGGGAAAAAGACGTGCTGCGGACTCTGCGCGAGGATCATTTGACCAACTGGAGCTGGTTGGACGAGAAGGAACCGCCGGGCCCCAACACGGTGGCCATCCGTCGCGGCGACGACCCCCAAACCCGCTCCTGGATCGTCTTCCGCACGACGAAGCGCGGCACCACCCTCTACAAGGAGACATTCACCAACGAAGACGCTGCCATGTCCTTCTTCCTCGATCGGGTCCGCTTGATCTCCATCTGCGTCGAGCCCGTCACTCCGCATATAGTCGACAGCGACGAGATTTACGATATTTTCGACCAACAGCGTGCTCAGCAGGCTAAAAATGAATAGACCGTATTCGATAACGGTTCGATGTATCGTTTCGTTCAAAACAATAGAACATAACCTCGAACCAAACTGTGAGGATTTAAGTTGGAAAAGCTGAAAATGAGAACTTTCCTGACAATTTCACTTTGCATTAGCATTAGGTACTCAAAAGAATAAAACATCTGTTACAAAAGACCCGTTCCCTCCGATTTCTAAATTGACTTTTGAGGCTATGTTTATGTTTTGAACCAATCGATATCGATAAAATCTCACCTGTTTGATGTATCGAATACGATCTATAGACGGCCCGGTCATAGAATAATAGCTACCGGAAAGGTAACTGTCAGATTCTCCCATAAGATCGCGTAAAGTTCATTATTGACGGATCCAGCAAATTGGCAACATTGCCTTTTCTCCATTTAAAGCTATTAAAATGTATCGATTCTTGGAGGGGCCAAGTGCTCCGACAAGAATCGATTATGTAGCATAGATTTAAATGAAGGAAATCCAATGTTGCCAAATTGCTGGATCCGCCTCTGGTATAGTTATATGTTCGAAGCGGACTTGGAGTCGATTCCCCACGTTTGAAACGGCAGGCTGCGCGGGGGCCGCGGGAATTTCAAGATGACCGACTGCTCCCCTTCTGGTAGCTATTATTCCGAGCCCGTTTCAGACGATCAAAGTAGAGCTCTCAAAGTGGCGTCACGTGGGGTCTCGTCACCCTCAAAGATTGTCGGCCCGACAATCTTTGAGGGCAATGGGGTCACGTGACCCCATGTAACGCCACTTTGAGAGCTCTACTGCCTTAATACTAGTCATATCGTAAGCAAGAACCTTAGCAACTACTTCCAATTGGACGCATTTAAATCGAAAGGAACTATGTGCATTGAGCCATGGGCCTTGAGATCCATAAGAATACATTCGTACCGGGGCTCATGTCTGAATGAATTTTGGCTCCTTTTGGATTTAATTGAGACCATATGTACAAACGATAAGTGAAAGATTACCTAAAGACGTAGGGGTCAATTTTTATGCTTGAAGGAACTACTATTAAACACAAATTTTCATGGAAGACCTCGTTGAAAATAGGACTAATACAACTGTTTCTAAGCTGGTAATTTTCTCTACGAATTGTATCGCTTCCTTTTCCCCCGTCCATTTTTTTAGTCCAAAATTCTCTTAAAGAAACTATTCACTCACCGAGAAGTTCGGAGATCAGCTTTGAACGAGATATGAACAAATTGTGAGGCCACTGATCTCCTTCTACGACGTTGCAGAAGCCGACTCCCTGCCTTACTCAAAATAATTTATTTAAAACCATCTTAAATTTTCTTCTCCTTCGGCAGAATATTCTACAAATATTTCAAGCTATACGGCTAGCTTCTTTCTCATTTGTAAAAAAATGAAAAAATGAGTAAATCAAAAGCAGGAAAAAATCCACGATCATTCGATCCTAGGATTCCAGGCTCGCGGTGTGAACACCAATAGGCAACGAGGATATCGATCGCTGGACGTCAAGCTCAAGGGATCGAAATCCTATCTCGAGATAAACTCCTAACCGTGGTAATGACGTTTTTCATGAATATATTTAACCTTTCCGTTCATGGAAGAGGGAATAATTTACTTGAGTCAAATTGCACGTCAAACGCCACTATGACAGTTAAAATATGGCAATCTCAATCTTGACTCTCAGTTCAAGCTGTACACGCTTTGTACAACTCAGTGTTCGATTGAGTAGTCTGCTAAAGCCGTCGTATATGTAGAGCGCAATTTGACTCACGTACACGGAGAGAAATGAATGATGCTGACGACAGTGATTCCGCTCCGTTCAACAATGTTACATTGTCACCCACAGGCCCAACATTGCCCACGTCGTACCGCACAATGTCAGCATTGTAATTTCGAAGGTACGTGTTAAGTTGTGGAGGTAACTTTGTAGCATTGTTGAATGCATGGTCCCTTTGTGGTGAAGCGCACCGTGCGCTTGCTGCGTGGCCCACAATGCGGCATTTTTGTGTTTTTCGCTCTCTGTGGCTGTATCCCGGGAGTATGAGTGGCGGAACATGCAAAAGAGCCCTTTAAAATGATTACTCGCGAGAACAACTACCAAAATCGTAAAAAATTGAATGTGCGAAACTTGCGGAAGCTTTCCTTTTGCATTTTGCTGATAGAAATTTTCCTACCTAAGCCGGGGACCGAACCTGCGACCTACCTAACTCTAGCCTAACCATTTACCGATTGAGCAACGAAGGAACCTGTTTCGGAGCGATGAAAAACCTGTGTATAGCTTCTGTTTGAACGGATCGTTAAGTTGAACGCAATTTTTTGACAGTTTTGAACGACAGCATTTTACTATCGTGCATATTTATTTCTATTTGTGGTTTTAATGTTTCTATTTCATTATTATTTAATTTTAAAATTGAATATATTATTTTATTTTCTGTTTTATTTCATTATTTTATTTATTTCGATTGTTAGATTGTAATTCTCTTGTTTTTTTTTATTTTTTGTCTTTTTATTCTTTTATTTATTTTTTTAAAATTTTGATTTATTATTTTATTTTACTGTTATATTTATTTTTTTATTTTGTCATCAGTTTATCTTTCAGTTTATTTTTGTTTCGTTTTATTTTTTTATTTTTTTTTACCTTACTAAATCATTTTCCCTTCTTTTATTAGGCCTATGAAACATTTGCAAGCCCAACCAGGGCAATTGACAAAATGGGGCTTAAATTCCTACCTTCACTCAACTTCTATGAAAAAATTCCATCCCCCATGACAAAATTAATGTCAAAAAATGAGTGCTTACACTGATAGCAGAGCAAAATTTCTGCGAGACCTATGGAGTGACAAAAAATCATACCCTCGGGTTTTCTTTTTAGCTAATCTCTCTTTCCCTCTTTCTACCCCTCCCTTTGAAAGCTGACAATTTTATGAGGGGTACTTCATAAATAACTTGGCATACTGACTGCAGTACTTATACAAAATTGTATACCTCCGCTGTGTGAATGCCACTCTTTAATGTGAATTCCATTAAACTCTTAAATTTGACTGTCATGGTATTCAGTTAACAAGAAGTAATATAGAAATGATCACATCGCATGTGGGAAATTCAGTGTCGTTATGTCAGAGAAACAAACATCACTTTGCTGCGGTATAAATATCTTACATCATTGCAATCACACTCCTTAAAAAGTGAATTCGATCAAAAACATCATGCGCGGCAACAGAGCTGGCATTGTTGAAATGAAGATAGCGCGGGACATTCAAACTGTGCGTGAGAATAACAATGCCACATTGTGACGATCGGCATTTCTCCTGTTGATGCAACGCTTTTTTTGTCAACAAATTGGACATTGTAATTATGACTTTTGGCTGTGTGTCTCTCATATTGCAGCCTTGCTGCGATAACAGCTTTTCTATTTACACGCATCATAAGCCGTACAACCATGTTTGACATTGTCATCCTCATCAATCATTTTTCTCCGTGTAGGGTTTTGTTTTTCTCGTAACCGGGTAATTTAAAGTTCCCGTAACCAATGGACAATAAAAACGTTTATATCTGAGATAGAAGTTGATTTCGGTAGTTTTCGTTGCGAGAATCGTGTTCTGCGTGAAATTTTGGTGAAGAATCATGTATTAGAGTGCTTAAATTCGTACTTTGTTTAATGGTCGATTCAATAAAAAAAAAACCGAACATAGAGCGCTTTCCTTACTTTTCTCAGAAAAATAAATTTATCGGGAGAAACGAGGCAACGTTGGAATGCTCACACGGCGTCGAAACATAACATGGGCCTTTTAAGCCCCGTTGTTCGATGCCGCGATTATCCTAACGCGAGTGCGAATAATCGCACCAAACTCGGTGCGGTCGATGTCACACTCATATTAGCGCCTGCAAGACTGTAAGAATACTTCACGCATTGCGCCAAACGGTGCGGTCGGCGTCGAACGCATATGAGCGCCTACAAGACTGCATGAATACTTCTCGCATTGCACTAAAAGCAATGCGAGGGTTGTTTGCGATACCTGTTCGACTACAAATACGGGCACATCGCCGCTGACTAAATTGAAGGCGCATATCACACTATGTGAAGATGACTCGACACTCGACCGCGCTCCCTTCCCTGGCTTGCGCGAAGCTAAAATCGTCGCAAAACTAGGACCATGCGTCATTTCCTTTTGACGGTCCCTGCCCAGTTTTTACCTTAATTATAGGGTAAATATGTATCATTGCAACGGTTCAGAAACTCGGACGATGTTTAAGCGATACAGCAATTCTGAAACCTCATCCGCGTAAAATTAATTTTGGTTCAATAAAAAAGAAACAGAACACACGGAAATATCGCGATTTTATTTTTAATATAAATTCCCCACTGTATAAGGCATTCGTGCTTTTAAAACAATTAAAAATTTGAGGAGCTCTGTTTTATTTTCGCTGATCTAAAATCCTGCTTATTCGGATGAATTGATGAGGATTGGAAAATCAAAATTTCGTCAGCGCTTTCAGGTGGTCTGAAAATTATGAGCAACTATTCCGCTTCTTCAACCGGAATCCAGTGGTCTCAAAGGAAAAATTTATTCACTCCAAAAAAAAAATAATAACATTTGAGAGAATTTATTCATAAAAGAAAACGAATACGTTCAACGTTCGTTTTCTTTTTAGAAGACGAATGCATTTAGGCTCTTTTACAGTGACCATCTCCATGCATATTATTAACTTAATAGTTGATGGCGCTTCCAGACAGGCTTTGAATTCCCAGTCTTCGATCAAAATGGGATCTCATTTCGAACCGATCTATTTATGATAATTGAACGTATGAGTATCAGAGTGGACGTATTTATGCTAAAAGAAAGAAGAGACGAGTAGAAAAGAATGAATGTGCTCTTTAGTTTTTATATTTTATATAAGTATTTGTAGTTCCTATTCATTTAATGTCCATTCCCATTTTTTTCTCATGCTAAAAAGAATCACGTCCGATTATTCAAAGAAATGGAAATCAAATTATGGCAATAAAACTGTATCAATCTGAGGATTTGAGTATTCTCACATACCTGGCAATCCAAAAGTCCTGCATCACCGTCTAAAACCCCGAAGGCTCTTGCCGTTCTACAGGATGAGCCCCTCAAAATTTCGGGAGTCCAAAAAGTCGTTGCCTTTGACCTAGGAGCACTCGCAGCATTTTAAATCTGTATCTCAACTTGGTCAAAAGTTACAGGTGTGATGCCAGTGGCTGGTGTTGCGGAACTTTTGGATCACCCTGTATATGAAAATTCTCGCTTACCCTAAAAATAACCAAGACCGTTATAAACTGCATACAATTCTATGAGAAGCAGTCGCATGCGTGTATAAGGAACCGACAGAATTAAATTAAAAAAACAATGCAAAATTTCATACATACATTTATTGATATTGAGATCACATCGAGATACCAGTGGAGCCCAGAACATACCTTCCTCCATCCACAGGAAAGTTTACGCCCGTTGAAAAACTAGCATCTTCACTGGCAAGGAAAACTATTGCCTTTGCAACTTCCTCAGTGGTTCCGAGACGTCCCAGCGGATGTGCTTTTTTCGACCGTTCCACGTACTGCTCCAAAGCGCCATCTCCTCCTGCCATACCACCGCGCTTTTGCATTTCCGTCAGAACAGCGCCAGGATTCACCGAATTTACTCGGACGCCTTTTGGTGCGAGCTCCAGCGCTACGCAGCGAGTGAACTGATCAATGGCTGATTTTGACATGTTGTACGCGAGGGTGCCCACGTAAGATTGTAAAGCAGCTACACTTGAAACGTTTACAATCGCACCTTTTCTTGCAATAATGTGCGGTGTTGCTAACATTGTCAGATGGTACACAGCCCTCACGTTTGTGTTGAATATCCTGTCATACTGTTCAAGTGACGTGTTTTCAATGGCGCCAAGCTCGACGATTCCGGCGTTATTAATGAGAATGTCCAGGTGGTTAAAGTGTAGCAAAACAATTTCGAGCAACCTTTTGGTTTCAGTCTCATTCGTCAAGTCTGCCTTGATCAGAAATGGGTCCTTTTTACCGTGTATGTTGCATTCTTCAGCCGTTTTTCTAAGGTTTGCATAATTTCTTCCGGTGATGGCAAGTGAGGCGCCATATTTGGCGAACAGTTTAGCAGTTGCCGCACCAATACCACTGCTCGCTCCTGTCACAAGAACTACTTTTCCTTCGAATTGCATGTTTCAGCCTGAAACCAAATCTGGAACGTAAAGTCGATGCTTGATGTTATTATCAAACTAATTCAAATCCAACCAAAAGAAGAAAAAGAACCTGACCATAGTTTAAATTAATTGAGTAGAATCAGCAATACGTTCTTACAAAGTCGAATTTTATTTAGCTCTTCATTAGAATGGTATTTAAAAAAAAAAAAAAAAAAAAAAAAAAAAAAAAAAAAAAACATAAGTAAATAGTAGTAATTTTCGTTTATTTTAAAGCGGTGCCCCAACAACTGTGGACATTAACACCTCTCTAGTTAGGTTGCAAGGTTCATTACAGAAAAAGGGGGGGGGATGATTCAACAAAAAAATAAATTCATATTCCTATATCGATGGCCAATGAACAATGCCGCATATTTGCAAACTGGCAATTTACATGACGGGGAAAAAACTTTACCATTTTTGTAATCATGAGGTTCGATTTACGATTTTTTCTCACATTATAGTGACATTACAGATACAGCGCCTTCAAGCGGAAGTGGAGAGAACTCAAAACATCAGCTAGCGTATTTTAAACTGTAGAATGCGGCGAAGTCGCTCACTCATTTTCGCCAAAATTAGACAGTATCGGTCCTCAGTCCTCGATTATACATTACAGTGCCTACACAGATAAGTAGGTGAAAATAAAAATAATGATGGTAATACTCACTATTCAATTTCACTTTGACGTCTATAGTGCCTTCTCGCGTGGAAACAATATTTAAAATTATGAAAATCGGTACACAAGTAGACTCTTACTTGTAAGAAGTATCATGTAATTACTTGCACTAGTTAGAACACTCTGGTGGAAGACTGAGAAGAAATTGAGCATATCAGCTGGAATATTCAATGCCAAAGTTTGTGTTTGCTCATCGAGCTCATATAATTTTGTGCATAAAATGAGATAACTAGCGGGCCGATTGCGATTGTTGAAAGTATACAATCTTGTTACATCGGTAAGATAAGGCAATGCAAGACACAGCCACATATCCATGCCATGTATTACATTGCTTTTTGATGTGTTGTCATGCTACATAAACTGTCACAATGTCCCAGTTTGACAAGATCGATCTGGTTCTTGCGTCAACTCCAACAGCGTACCCCTAATCTTAATTAAGTGGACTTGGTATTACATGACCCACTCGCCGTGATAAAAATTTACAGGTGTATGAATTTTAGGATTCATTTCGAGCTCTTTATTCCCATCGGGGAACAATTGCTATTGCTGGAACTATTATGAGTACGCAGAGTTGTATGATAAGATTAAACATTTTCAAGGATTCAGACCATTAATTTTTATTCTTGAAATACATTTTTCGGTTAAAAAATATAATGTTGGATTTTTAGTGGATAGAAAAGCACTAGTTTCTTTTTCACTTTGTAAAATATCAGTGAAATGGACGTATTTATGCCAAAAAGAACTGTGCACAGATGAATTAAATGAAAAGGAGCTAGGTATAGAGCACCCCAATCCTGTGCACGCAATTCCTTTTAATTTCATTCATTTGCTCATATTTCCATTCCGCATGATTAGAAGATGAGATTCTGAGGAGCTATTATGTTACTAATATTTCCCCTTGATAATGAATGTGCTTTGAAATACAAAATCTGTATGGTTACTTGGCGACAGGTGCAGGGCAACGCTGTGGCAGCCAATAGTGACGCGACGCTGCATCGCCCGCGACGGTGGCGCTTCTCATTGGCCTTCGCATCACCGACCGGTCCATACTTGGCGACCGTCCCTAACCAATCAGTGATCATGGGCCAGGAGCAAGCGGTTGGTCCGCCATGTGGGGTTTAGTAAGTGATTGATGCGTGGTGGGGCAATGAGAGGTGGCGGCGGCGGTGAAGGCCGGTGAAGGATTGCACTGCACCTGTCTCCATTCGGAGACACCACTCTGAAATAAAATCAATTTTGCATTTGCCTGCATCACTGGAAAAAAGCACATTGGATCTAGAGTCCAGACTCTTAAAAACATCGACAAGAAAAAATACTCTTGCTTCAATCGGATTTTTGCTTAAATCAAGAACCAAGCCTCTTAATTAGAGCGGATTTTCTTTTGATTTAAGCAAAAATCTGATTGAATCAAGAGTATGTTTTCATGTCAATGTTTTTAAGAGTCTGGACTCTAGATCCAATGTGTTTTTTTTTTTTTTTTTCCAGTGATGGTTGTATACTTAATTTTTTCCTTCGATTCCATATTCCCCCACCGCCTTCCTTGGATCAAACCGTCGCGTCACTTCAAAGTAACAAACTAATTTTTTGATGTCTCTACTAAACTGTTAGCGATCCACATCACGAAGTCTTATCAACTTTTATTCCTTCCACCAATGAACTTCAACTCTCGTCGCACAAATTTTCCCTCGCAGTTTCTGCCATTTGCTGTGGTTTTGTAGTGTCTTGGCCAGGTACGTCCTCAGGGCTTGGAGCTCCCTCAACTCGGAACGGCTCGATATCTTCAGATGGGGAGATTTCCCTGTATTTGTACCGTAAAGACAGCAGTATAAGCAAAATGACGTCCAAAAACATGAGGCCGGCGTATAACAAAAATTGATATGCCTGGAGAGAGAAAAAAAGAAGAGAACAATGACAATTTTTTCTTTAGACATATGGAGGTATCCTCGAATCAGGATTTGAGGGATGTAAGTTGGAAAAACATCATTTTTTCTCCATTTAAATTCATTATAAACATCGATTTTCGGTGATTATTCACTAAAGCTGACTAAAATATTCACTATATCGAAAATAATTACTTGAGTCCAGTACTCAACAAAAATGTACTCCATCAGAAAGGGGAAAAAAGGAGAGCAGCAATTTTTGTACAAACCTGTCTTTTGAATCCAACACTTGCGACGAGAACTACGACAACACTGCCCAATGACATGCTCATAGATAAAAATGATTGCATGATTGATCTCATCTTTGCCGGAGTCTACAGAATTTAAAATACAAAGAAAAAGCTTAAATTAAAAAACTTGAAATGGAAGTTGGCAAAGGAGCAGACAAGTAAACTCATTTATAAGAGACGCCATTTTTACCCTCTGTAAAAATCTTGTATTATTTGCGTGGACGGAATAGAATGGAACAACTTTAAGTGTACATATTTGTACAGCACGAGCAAGAAAACTTTGACCTGGAAAACCATACTCTTAAGTGATGGAACCATGGATTATTATTATATTTTGATATGTCCTCTACAGATAAGAAAATTCATACTCATCATTCTGAAGACTTTCTTCTGAAGAAAAACCATCAAGTGAACGTGCCGGAGGGGGAGGGGTGCATAAGACGCTTTTACCTACTCGTGTTAGATACATTTTTTGCGAAAGCCCTGTCAACACTACTAGCAAAATTTCACGGAACTTTGCGCGAAAGTTAAGTTCCGTAAACCCATCTCTGTGCTGACAAGGTCCTCGATTTATAAGAAATGAACCAAAAAATTATGAAAGAACAAACATAAATGTGGTTTAATAATTTTAACTTCCGCCGCTGCGTCGCGCTGATCGCACTGTGTTTGGCGCAATGCGTGAAGTATCCCTAGAGTCTTGTAGGCGCTATGCGTTTCACGCCAACCGCACCTGACCGCATTGTATTTGGCGCAATGTGTGAAGTATTCATGCAGTATTGTAGGCGCTAATATGTGTTACATGCCGACCGCCGCGCCGAGGGCTTGTCCTCTTCATCTCAAGTTCTCGTCATCATTCCTCTCTGCGCTAAGCTCCAGGCCAAATTGCGTGTTAAGTTCCTCTTTTAACTCGACTAATTAAATATGCTGTCTGCTGCATCACCGAAATACTACAAAATTAGAAATTATTATACTTTTAGGAAAAAGAGATGTTGTCTCCTTTTCTCATTAATATTTTTTTTCCTGAATCCGATTTATTTTATACCTACATTTTAAAAAATTGCAAAATTTGCCGCCATGGGCCACGGCCCATGTGGCCACCGCCACCCCCTTAATCCGGCCGTGTAAAACATTAAAGGAAAAGAGTCCCTGTAACATTCAAAGGAATGCATATTGACGGTGTAAGTCTGCAAAAACGTATCTCAGTTTGCAATGTTGCAGACTTCCTGTCACCCTTCATTTTTAACAGAAAAATTATATAAAACGAAATTCTTAAAAACTGCCCTGGTTTTTCTCTTCTGTGCGAAGAAAATTCTGCGAAAACTTCAAAGAATGATACCTATTTGTTCTTCCCTAAAAAATATGAAGAAGGAGCGGAGATTTTCAAACATCGCAAACGAGATTCATGGCTGCGGACTTACCGTCGATACCCCAGAAAACTGTCTTCTCCATGCATTCTAACTTCAAAGCATGCTCCAGGAAAACTTTAAACAAACTTAGCAAAATACATCAGCTCTGCCTGAATCCCTTGTCCACATGGCAAACCTACATTGACACTGCACTTTTGAAGGAGCACCTCCACAAGTCAGTTGAATACATTAATAAAGCCCCTCCCCTAAAATTTAATTTTCTGGTGTAAGAATAAATAAATAAAAACCTACCTGAGTGAAAGTGAATGATACGTATGTCATTGCAAAAAATACTTCAGCGATCGACATGACGGTTTTTTGAGGTATCATCCACAGCAAGTGTAATGTAGCTGGTGGCGTGATTGTGTGCAGATTACCAACCTACGGAGTCAAAATTTTTAGAATTGGAAATACAAAGCGTTTCTTACAATAATATTCACTTACTCTAAGAGGGCATTATCTCGATTGCCACTTGCTCATAAAATTAAAGAAAATAAATACCTCGAAGGCTTTTGCTGACGAGATGCGTTTATACGATCCGAGTTTATGTGCTATCACGATTATTTTAAGTAAGTTTTTTTTTAAAAAAATTGAGATACTATAATTTGGAGTAGAGCTTAGAGCTAGTCTCAAAGTAATAATTAGATAAATTGGAATATCAGAAGTTAACTTTAGTCTCAGGAGACCATTTAAAGTCATTTTCACGTCTTAAAAAACCCAATTTTCAATTTTTTGAATTGAAAAAAAAATATATGCATTCTTTTGCTATCATTCTAAAAAAATATAAAAAATCACTTAGACAACACTTTCATACATCATTAAGTCTTGAAGCCCTTCTAGGTGGACCCATATACGAGCTATATGACAGAGCTCATGGACCTAACCAATCCTGTTTCCTTGATGAGCCAATAAAATCTGATAAATATATCATGAAAGAAAGCTAGGAAAAATTATGGTGATATTCCAACTCACAATTCTGGAATCGATCGTCTGTATGACCAATGTATAGACACCTCCACTCTCAATCTGAAGATTCGATAGAACCGTTTGATCCCCATACATGGCGTCATAACTGAAATATTATTGATAACTAAATTTATAATTTGAGACAAACGAGAACACAAAATATAAAATAAGCGAAAAATTCCGTATCAAAAAGGACATTGAAAATTAAATCCATGAACAGGTTTGGAAAGCTCCGCATCGCCCTCTCTCGCAATCCGGCGTAAGAAATTTTACGTGGTTACAAAACCAAAATGGGATCAAAACGGAGGATCCCTCTAAATCGGTCTTCGCTTATATTTTAGAAGTATTTACGATTATTTTTCCAGTGAATTTTACGTATTGAACCTTCTGCTAAGAGAGACCGTCAAATCATTTCCGCAGGCCTCTGAAGGCTCGCACTTTGTTCTCCCCTTCATAAAATTTTGGGTTTTCGGATAAGCGAATAAATGACTTACGTGCCAGAGTCTACCTCAATCAATGGTGTAACTACGTCTGACTCCAGAAGCTTGAATGTCAACTCACTCCCATACTGACTCTTTAAAGTTAGAGGTCCGGCAAAGTTATGAATTACCCTGAAGCAAAAGAGCGATTATCGCGGATTAAAATTAAACAACACGCACTTATTACTAGAAAAAAGGAAAACGTCTAATTAAGGAGTTCTAGACTTTCTGCCCCAAACTAGCAAACCCGGAGGAAAACCCCGGCTCTGAGCAAGTTAATAAACTATGAGCTTTACGCATTATCAATGCTTTTTCCTCTTTCTTTCTTTCCTTATTTCCATCGCTAGAGATGGTTTCAAAATTTCTAAGGAAAACATCCAAATCTGTTAAAAGTCTCTATTAACTGGTCTTTATCATATTCTCTTACATGTATAATAAACAATAGGGAAGACATATTGTTCTTAATCCAGCTAAATTATGTAATCATAGTGCTGCCCAATGAGCGGTACCGTGGGACGTGTTGTAAGAGAACAAGAACTGTGGCCAAAAAACTATAGTTCATGAGGTTTTCCCTCATTTTAGACTATAAAAGACGACTTTGGGTTTGTGGCCATCTCCAGCTGGGTCCATCAAGATGCCGACTAAGAATTTGTAGGTGAAATATGTCTACCAAAGAAACGAAGAAGAGAATGAAATATTTTTCGCCTATTTAACTTCTCTCCTCTCTACAATCGAAGAAAATATGATACATATTACCTCAACTTCGGTGCATTGATTTGAGATTTCGAAACATCGTCAAATCCTGGGACTCTCAGCAGATCAATAGTTCCACCCATATCGGTTATGATGTATGAAACGCTCTGTAAAATAATTTGCATTGATACTTTTATTCAGTTTTTACCTCAAACTCAGAAGAAACGTTATGCTTATGCAATATGCGCTACAATTCAGAAATTTTTGGTTAATCAAGTCATCCCAATCATTTGCAGATGTTCTGATCTAACGCGCAACAATAAATTACACTCCATGGGCAAAATTGCCCAGTCTGGGAACTAGTAAATGTTTTTGCTCCGTCCATGAACTGAGCAGCCAGTCCAAGGATTGACCGGTCAAAAGTTTGAAAATTACCCTTTGGAATGTAATACATATGCTAATCTATGAATTTCCCCACTTACCGATATCTAAGGAATATTTCGCGATAATTTTCATGAAATAGAAAATCATCAAAATAGGAACCTAAAAGATCGAATAAATAAAATGTATTTTTGTTTAATTCTTTCTGAGGGTTTCCGGTAAATATTTCCCAGTTTGGTATTTTTGTTTCTTAATTTTGCTTTAATAACAGTATTTTGGATGCGCATGTTAAATATTCATAAATTGAAGGCGTTCTCGCTTTACAAAGACTTAAACTGATTGTGAGTTGACTGTGGCCGACGGCGCCTTGATACGACTATTCGTGCTCCACGGATGTCCGGGTTGCATATTCAAAAATTGAAGGCGCCCCCACTTCTATCACTTCTTCAGAGGACGTGTCTGTTGCAGCACCCGAATAATAGAATCCCAAATTACCTATATAGAGAATGTTACCAGTCCGTGACAGGAGGTCATAGTATAATAATTTTGTAAGACCAAGAATGCAGTTAGTATCTCGACCCCCGCTTTAAAATGGGAGAGCAACAGTTTCTGGCTCTGGACGTTCTCATACGTACAAAAATTATGTCATGCAGTTCGATATTAAACACTTAATTAACTGCGAGAAAGTCTTTGGTGTGACCAGAAAGAAGTTTTCCTTCCAGTCTTTATTGAGCTTTAACTCGATTTAAGTGTAGGCCTTATTTAAAACGTCACAATTTTCTGACCCTGAAAATGTGCCTTCTTGATAGAATTTTTTAAGTCCAGTGTACAACAAAAATTTGCGGTGAATCATTTCTGCTTATCATTATTTTATCAATACCTTACTGACATTAAACACATTCTAAACTTGATTTGTTGGTTCCTTAGATACCTACCTCCTCCTCGGAAAGAGAAATTTCCCTCGTCCAGTTTTCGGGCACACCAACGTTCATGCAAGGCAAACCGGCATTCAAAATTAGATCCTCTCTCAAAATTCGAGTTTTTTCCACCTGAAGTTCAGTCCTTTGCAACGCCCCAAGTGGTGAAATAAACTGTTCACCATCAATCGGTGGCTGCAGTTCTAGTGGACACGGAAGACCATTGAAGATCCTCAATTGTCCTAATTCAGGCGACGGCAATTTTGCATAGCATGGCTAAAAGTGGGAAGGAAAGGAGAAAATTATCTTTGTGCATGATCGTTTGCAAAACCATTATGCGCTAAGCAGTGGCGTGACGCACTTTGCGATATATCGATTGATCTGCCATTTAAACCCATGGAAAAGTATCGGTAAACAGGGTGTTCGCCTTAATACTCGATTCTTTACTATAGCTTTAAATGGGACACTATCGATAGTCGATTATCACGCCTCGCCACTGGCGCTAAGGCAATTTTTTCAGGGGATAGTCACTTTTTTTAAAAACTAGAATTTGATTTTTGACTGAGAAACTTTGAAAAGCGAATAACGAAAAAGTGTTCGTCGTGCAGTAAAAAGAGCTCCGTTCAGTGCGCAAGGTTCAATTCACTTTAGTGGCTGTCCATAAATTAAACAACTCAATATTTTCGATGTTATAACACCTACTCACTCCTTACAACGCGATCGTAACGCTGTTCCAGACATCCTCAAAATAAATACGTAACATTTGCCACGACACCCTTCCTTCTCAAAGATGAAAGAAACCAAAGTTTGTATGCGGCATATCATTAAATTAAATTCAAATATATGATTGGAAAAATGAATATTTCATTAGAATAAAAACTTGAGCCGTGAAAGCCGTACTCGCAGGCCATGTAGAACTACCGTCCACTCTATGGGCTCAGAGGTCGCAGCACCTGTAGTAGCACTTATTGCCCCGGCCTCTGAAAACACTTATGTGCATAGGGAAACTAATGACACATACGTTGTTTTTAAACCGGGCCGGGATTTATAGTTCCAAATTGCAAAATGTAGTCCATTTACAACGCAATGAAAAACATTTTTTTTTCCCAATTTACCCATTAACTAATTTGAATTTACTCGCATGTTTAAATTTTAAGAGTAATCTCTGCAGCTTTTACCCACCTCGAGTTTAACCTCTACGTAAGCAGCCATAACATAGGATAATGCACATAAAGCGGCTCCAACGGTGATGTATTGCAGAGGCCTCCTGATCCCGATTTTTGCTAGCGCCGGATAAATGAAGAGCTCGAGCATTGGTATAAACAACATACAAACGAGCGGGTTCAAAAATGCCAGTTGGTCCGGTTTGATAATGAACCAGTTTGGTACAACTCCATCCATTTTAGAAGCTTGGAATATCCAGCTGGAGCCCTAAACCCGTCCAAAAAATATAACAATGGTCAAAAACCTAAAATAAAATTATCGCGTCGAGTGTGAGGAGAATAATGCCCTTGTTATTAGGATCCTTAGAAGATCAGATTGCAATAGAGAGCATCGAAGTGTTGTGTATGTTGCCTACCTTAAAATCGAAGGGGCTCTTCTTGTTTTGGTAGGAAGGTTGAAAATAATTATTGGATACAATATTTCTTTGCATGAACTCGAGAACACGGCTATTAAAGTTTCCCGGCACTGTTGCCAGTCTTCGGATAGGTATTTCCCAACACTTATAGCATCCTAAAGGCAAATTGTTGTTTGAAACTTTGACTCAGTTTTCTTAAAAGTATTAGAAAGTGATCAGTATCGGAAACTGAAAAGCGATATTTCTAACCCCAAACCTTTTTTTTTTTTTTTTGGCTGAACTGAACAATCTAAGTTTCCACCCTAAGGCACATTTTGCCGTGCTGTGTCTCATCGTAAGAAACAACCCCTCCTCTCCCGTCCCATCATTACCAATCAGCTTACCACTTGGTCATACAGGGCGTAAAACATGGGCACTGGAATATACATGGCAAGCACTCTTAGAACGTCACGAGCATCTGCCTGCATTTGTGGGTCATATTTGTCAGCTACGCATTCCAACCAGTGTGAAGAGACTTCTTGTTTCTTATTTGACAAAAGCCTTCTTCTTAACCCGTACTAATGAAAAAATACAAGAACAAATCAAGATAATAAACATCCCCGTGATTAGATCGAAAATGGGAAAATTTTAAAAGTAAATGATTCGACAAAATAAAAATTAATAATCTCGCGATTTGAATTATGAATATCAAAGAATTGAAGGGGCAAGAGTCATATAGGGGCTAAGTCACCAAAAATTGCGAAAGGAAATATACTATCATTCCCATTTTTGAGTAAGTGTTAAAATAATTCATGCAACGTAGCAATGCAACAACATTTGTTTGATTCTCACCTCTTCAATTATTGGCATCAACTCACCGCATTCTGCAAAATAAATTAGGTTTAGCTGCCAGGTAAAAACTGAGGTGATTATACCTATCGACAACAACGGATAGCCGTTTTTTCGCTTTTTTATTTATTTTCCCAAAAATATACGCGGTATTTTTATCAAGTTTTGAGAAATTATCATTCGCTCATGGGAGCAGGATAATTGCAACTCTTTGTCACGTCTCTTCTTCCTTAATTCTTAAATTCAAGGAAGGTATTGTCCTCTTACATTGTAATAATCCTTCATCGGGCGTGTGTTTCTCACTTCCCTCTCTTTAATTTCAGGAAACGTATTGTTATTATAATTGGCTCAAAAATTTGTCATTTTGATTTATCAAGAATTTGTAATCCAGATGAAAAAGAAAAAGAAAAGGAAAAAGAAATGAATACGAATAAAACTTACAAAAATGCACTTTAAAGCAGTTAAAGGGATACTTCCTCCATGTTTCAGCATTTTATACCAGGGTTTCCCGCAAATGAAGAGCACTGCAAAATCAATTGTTATGGAAGAAATTAGTTCGGTTTTGGTCTTCTAGTTCTATCTACTACCCTAAAACCTTGTAATGATTTTTAATCCTTATCTCATCCCAATAAGCAACCCACAAATCCAAAAACCAAAATTTGTCTTTATTTGGCGATAGCCCGCCCAACACGGAAATATTTTAAAAATATTGCTGAAATATTGTCAAAAACATTTTAACAATATTTTAACAATATCGAAATAACATTGCTGCAATAGTTTGTTGTCCGCCCCCCTGACAATATTGCAGCAATATTGTCAAGGTGATATTGATAATATATTTTAAAAATATTTACTTGTGATGAGGTTATCATATTCTATATCCGTGTGCGCGCACTCTAGGAGACGTCTTTGGTACTAATTTTCTTTCTAATGTACGCATGCGTCCAGGTTGTGGATCGTAGAGTTGTTACTGCCCTTAAAATCCGCGCCGTCCTAGTCGGGATTAGAACCCACGCCTCGGGGTGGAGTTGATATCCGAAGACCAGTACTTTACCACCAGACCAGCCAGGCTTGATGTAGAAGGGCCTGTAAATTCAATCTCTTAAGTATCGCAGGCCTCCGAGTCCGTAATATGTTTGTTTATTGACGGATTCTTATAATATTTTACCAGAATTTATTATTTATTATTTATTTATTATTTTTTATTTCATCCTGTAATTTGTGTTTCAAATTCTTTATTAATTGTACTCAACATATTCCTATTCATGTATTACAAATTTTCGTTTTTTTTAACTCTCTCTCATTTTTTTCTTTACCAAATTACTGTTTTTTATAATTGCGTCTTTTTCCAGTTTTAATTATTTGAGCTTTTTCCTAGTTTGAATTTATGTCGATGTATTTATATTATGTTATTTATTTTTTTCCCTTCTTTTTGTCTTTTCTTCCCCCCCTTTCTTTTTTCTAGCGATTGATTTTAGTAAGTTCCGCAAAATAATTGGTAAACAGAGCAAAACCATACGCTAATTTGGCAAACATTTTGAAAATCTAGCAAAAATTTTAGCCATAATAGCATAAACTAGTAATGTTAATTTCGCAAAAGTATAGTTTGCCATTTTCGCACAGTAAAATTACCACTTTTGCAAATTGTTTTGTCGTTCTCGCCACGAGGGTGGGCATTTTAGCAAAAAAAGCAAATTGCAGAAATCGCAAACCATTTTTTGCCATTTTAGCAATTAATTTTTAAATATTACAAAAATATTTATAAAATATTTTTAACATAATATTAAACAAATATTTTTAAACTAATATTTCTAAAATAATTTTAAAATATTTTGTAAATATATTTTACAAACTGTTTTAAAAGTAATTACATAAATATATTTTGTAAATATATTTAAAACATTTTTATAAATACATTGTTACAATATTGTCATGAAATATTTTAGCAATATTGTCAACATATTTCTGCAGTGTATTTAAGGAAATATTTACATGACAATATTGTTTCAATATTGACAATATTGCTGCAATATTGCTGCAATATTTCGTGTTGGGCGGGAGGCTTGTCAACTGGAGTATAAACCGTATAACTACCAAGGTGAGTATGAGACTAGGGTTAAAAGTTGTCTCACCAAGTGCAAGGAGCATGAGGATAGCCGGCACGCCGAAGGCAAGAGGGTAGCAGGATTGTTGACCGAGACACTTGATGTCCTGTCGAATGATAGGACTCGTAATGGCGGATAAGAACGCGCCCACGTTGCAACTCACGTAAAAAATGGAGAAAAACGTAGCGAGTTGCTTGGCCTGTTGCGGCAGCACGAACTGCTGACCCCCGAAAGTGCTGATGCAAGGTTTCATCAGTCCAGCCCCAGCCGCCACCAATATCAGCGCCAGCAAAGAAAAAACTCTAGTGTCAATCAACAGATAATGTTTCAAGCCGTTAGTAACGTCGAATAATATGATTCCAGCAGGCTGATTGTAGAAATTACTATCCAAAGGTACAGACAAAGAAGACGGAGGGAGTATGGAGCGATCCTATTGGTTGAAATAGGTGGTTCTTAAAGACTAAGGTGGTCAATGATGGACTAACTGTAGGGTCTCTCGTGTGGGTTTCCGTTAGTTAGCCCATTACCTACCTCCCATGTTCATGACATTCGCTATTAACCACCCGCTTCCTCCAATGGGATCCCTCCATATCCCTTTTGTCTATAGCTTTGTCTACCAATTTCAACAATCAGCCCGCAGGCCCTGAGATCCCTCACGTGCTCCGTTAAGTCCGCGGACTGACAATTCTGAGAGAGCATAATTGACAAGAAATGGTCATGCAGGCCATGTACTTTGGTATTTTGCTTTTAATTTTAAACTTTGGCCGGAAACCATCATTCATGCAGCAGTAATCGTCTATCGTTGGATTTTGTTCATGTGTTGTCTACAAATCTTATCTCACAGTAAATTATGAAATGCGTGTATTTGGTCTCTCAGGGCTCTTAGAATAGTTAAAGACAGTAAAGAGGAAAGTGGTGCAGTGCACTCAAATTTGCGATGCTCCTGTCTGAGGCATGGAAACATTATCTAAAATTTTAATGTAGACTGTGCAGGGTCGATTCCCTTTGTAAGTGTTAAAATGTGGTGGATAATCTGAGTCGTTAGGCCTCTTCGCGGAGCTTCCGGAACTTACGCGCAGCTGAAAGATCCGCGAGTTGGCTCCGGCAAAGTTCCACGAGACCACGAACCGTTCCTCGTGTGGAAGAGGCCTTACGCAATGCAAATACGATGTCGTTGAAAAACTTGTACTGCTAACATTTTATTGATGAAAATACGACTTTTTTAAGTGTACGAGGAATGGAGTTCCCGTATTTTGTTTTATTCAGGGCAAAAGTTGGACTAGTGATCGTTTTTTGTCAGTATGGAACTCCTCATAATTGTTGCCCAGTTTGGAATTTTCATCTTTGAAGCACATATCGCTTAGAAATGCATAAATTATTTAGAATAATGCTTGGAATATACCTTGGAGAGAAGAACCATGGTGTTGCTGCAAGCGCCAGGAGCACATTCCCAACCGAGTGAATTATTGATGAATAAACTATTGTCCTGAAATTTTAATAATTTTTTAAATGGAATTGGGACGAAAATATTTCTAAAATCTTGCCTTTAGATACTAAGAACGAATCGTAAACTTTTACCATAAAGTTTAAAATGAATTGATGATATGGAGACGTACTGCGCGATACATTTTCGAAACGTTCATTGTGGCAACTGAAATGATGCCCTCTCATTTGAGAAGATGTTAACGAATCATTGAATGATAATAATTTAAAGTATATAGGGCCTCCAAAAATGCATTATTTCTTCTTCCTCTCCTCTCTCAGCTGTGTTTTTGCAATAAAAACTCTTATCACTCCATGATTTTCACAGCTGCGTAGAGATCCCTTCTTTAGAATTGGTTGTAGGTATACATTGGCGTCATTTTGGTAAAGGGGGCAATATTCATACCCTGAACTGAGATTTATGTCTTTTTCAGAAAGTGCATTTTTGGGATTTTTCGAAATTTTGCTCCCCCCCCCTTCCGGACTAATTTTACCCATCTTCAAAAAATTGGTGCCTTATTCCCTATAGAGTCGGAAGGAATGACGCCCATGGTTATTCCTTGTTTTTTCATAAAAAAAATAACCCACTCAACCATAACCGTTAATTATTGACCTTTTTAGAGCCCCCAAACCATTAGACCGATGTAAATCAAATGTCAGTCTGTATCATTTGCCATTTGGATCTCATACATCGATACTTAATAAAGCTACCTATCACTGTCTGGATCATGAGATATGTTTCTCATAATTCATAACTATAAATATAACTCTAACATTGTTAATATGTGAATAAACTGAGGATACGTACTTATATTGTCCAATGTAGGCATCCGCCAACGTTCCTCCACAGATTGGAAATATGTAGCACAAAAAGTTAAAAATGTGAAAAATGATGGTTGCCTCCCGTTCCGCATAGAGTAACACATTTCGCATATAAAGTGCCAAAATCGCTGAAATAAGAGAAATATTTTTCATAAAATAAATTCTTCGTAAAAATGAATGTCTAATATAGGGCACAATTTGAGGGGTTCTATTAGGTGTTAATTTGGCATACAACATTTGCCAAAACAAATTGGCAGTAATGGTTACATTACTATACGTGCATAAAGTTCCTTCTGCGCACTTTAGCGATCTTTAACACCGTATTGCCACATTGTTGCCTATATATCCGAAAGTCATTTGGAAAGTGATATCATTGAATCTCCTTGTCGATGCTGCAAACCTTTCAGAGGAGTGCCCTTTGCCCTCCTGCGGCCCGATTATTGATCATTATATCGCAATTCGATGTCTTACCGGGCTTCTTTAAACTTTCAACAATCGCAGGTAAGATGAGAAACCCAATTCAAAACTTCATCGTACGTAGTTGCTCTTCCCACATTCTCTGTATGCTTTTGTGTCCATATAACACCATGCACTTAAACATGATATGTTGAACAAAATTCTTTGCAACTCTTGCCATCTCCCAGATCCTTCCTCCATAACACAGTACCTTACAGATGCGCTGGCAAACCTCCACCAAAAATCCACAATAACTTTCACGATTAATTTTTCGCTTGTTTTCCTTTCTTGGAAAGGAATCTTGAAATCGTACTGTATCTCATTACTCTTTGCGTTTCAACTGAATAAATATACGATTTGGATTAATTTGCTGGCTTGATAGATAGCGTTTCTATGATATCTCTGGCTTAGGAGCACATGCATGAGATCTGTGACAGCAGAGATGTTCATCCTGTTGTCCTCAAACTGTTTTATTATCATTCGATTGCTATAGCATTTTGCACTTTGGTTGGGTTTTTTTATCGCCCTTGTTAATTAGTTGATACTTCACTTACCCCGCATTCCGTAGTAAGAGTAGCGCTCACAAAACTCATTGCCGATTATGAAAAACGTAGATTTCGGATATTTCAATGGCTAAAAAAGAAAAAAAAATGCAGTCTGAATGAATATTACAATTACAGAAATATAATGAAACTCAAGTCATGTTGCAATAAAAGCGGTGGAACTCCCAAACCACGTATCTCGTTTGCGGTGTTAAAAAATCTCCACTCCTGGTTTATTATTTTCAAAAGGAAACAAATCAAAATCATTCCTTGAAGTTTTCTCATAATTTTTTTCGTGCAGAGAGAAAAAGTCAAAGAAGTTTATAAGAATTAGTTCTTCAACTTAGTAGTTCTTCATTTAAAAAAATAAAGTACGATAGGAAGTTCGCAACATCTCAAACCGAAGGATAGGATTTGGGAGTTTGATTATCGAAATTCTTAATTTATTTATCGACACAACAGGGATCTAGTATATTCATTTTAAGTTTCAAAATTCAATTCTGTATACATATACATATTATCAATTTTTTACAACAACATTTTTACAAAAACATTTTTTAATAGAATGAGTGCGATGCGTTTGCTTGCGATACGTCGGACCAACCCCACTGATTAAAATCCATTTATGACAAATATTATATTACATACGACAAATTTTTATTGAATTTGAAACTGTTGCACGTTTTTCCATGCTTTCTTTCTCACCAGGAACATAGCACATTTTTAGACAATCCAGCTCATTTTATTTTACTTGAACAGTACATGTAATATGAACTTTCTAAAATTCTGAATTGTAAATCTTGAGCGTTTTATGTAACCGACAATGAGTCAAGTTTTAATATGCAGTTGGAAAAATTTCATCTAAACAATCTAAAATTTGGCACTTCGATCAGTTAGACTGTCCGAAACCCGAATAAAGCACTAAAATATAAAAATTCGTGAAGATTAAAATTTAATCATCATTAACTACCTTAGCAGCAATTTGAGATTGAGCATCAGTGGCAACCATTTTTGAAAATTCTGAAATACCAGCACCAGGTAAGGCACATATAGACAAATCAAACAAGAGTTTTCATTTGAAAAATAGAACGACTGATTACTGAACAAAACATGAACTGCAAAAGCAGATATTAGTAATGAAAAAGTGATAAGTTTAATTCATAGACTAACTAGTACTTAATCATTAAATTTTTTATTCAGCATGACGAAATAAGATATAATTTAAAGACATCGCAACACCGATGTGTCCACTTTTCATTCGTTTGGCGGCAAAAGGAAACTAATTTTCCGGTTGAAAGAAAGTCGCGCCGAACACTGTTCACTGACTCACTCAATAATTAATTTCGAAACGTAATTTTGCCAGGGCTCAAACTTGTATTCACTTCTCTGCCGGCCACCTTAAAATTGTTGACACCATATGTAACTTTTCTGACCAGGAAAAGGGAAAAATCCTTTGATTGTACTTATCTAGCAATGTTGTGGTATTATCGTGACCGCCTGCACAGCACTCAAATGAACAACGTAAGTATATGTTTAAATCTAAATTGCACACTCAAGAGCCTGTCAACGTCAGAAAAAGCGACTATGACTATGTAAATTTTCATTAATCCGAGATTAAATCGTCTCTGTCAAATACTGAAGTGGGAAAATCTGTGCACGCAACAAACGAACTGCTATCTATGATCGAAAAAGTAGCAAAATCGCAAAACCCCTTATTTTGGTTAAAGTACCTAATTTTCGAAACATTCTCGGGGGAGGACTCCTCGACCTCCCTCTTCTTCCAGGAAAATCCCTAAGAACCACCCTCCCCCTTACAGGAGGTAGATCCATGATTGCCGCCTAACTTTTGCGATGTCAGTCCGCTCCTGCTATACTAACAATAAGTGTTCAATGGTATAAAGTTTCTACACTCATTTGCTCACATGGAGCTGGCAACATCGAGTTGAATCACCACTACAGATAAAATTCATGTGACGGTGTAGTGGGTCAATGCTCACCGGATTCATGTCTTAACACAGTCGTTTGCGTTCATAAGATTGAGGATTGAGACCTCTCTTACAATGACTATTATTATCATATCTTTAGAAATAGTTATCACTGTAGATAATTGTGTTCAACTTAAGTGATAACAAAACTTTAAGACTCTTTTATCCTCCTCTCACTTCAGTATAACATTCATATCTTGCCGAGGCATGGACACTTAATTGAAAACTTGAAACATTGCAAGTTGGAAAGAAGTGCGCTGCCGAAAAAGATGAGGGCGTAATGTGGTCTAATGTCAACTCTATTTTACCTTTCAATTCAATTATTTTCATTACTTTTAATTTTATATTTGCTGCTTCTCCAAGCATGTTTAACTACCACCAAATTATGTCCGTGTCATACGATACTCTTCGAGGTCATAAGCGGATAAATTCGTTAATTTCTTACGCACATTCCGTGACCTTAAAAGTGACTTTCAGATTTTCTTTTGCTGTCATCGTACAAGTATAGAGCCACTCGTCATTACTGGCAACTCTTTTTTATAGAAACTGATTGCGGTGGACGCACGGGTTGTAAGACAGTATGTTAGAGTTTTTTAGCCAA